GTCTCGCTGAATGGAAGCACAGCCTTCAGATATATTTAGAAAGAGCTGTTTACTATTCTTTGTATCACATTTTATGTGACCCATGTTCATTTATAGCTTTATGCAATCTTAGCTTCCTCAGAACTTCACTCACTACTCCAGGGTTTTGTGCTGAAGATAATACCAACATGCTCTATCAAGCACAAAAGCCTTTTAACACTCTCCAACTTCAAGGAGAGTTGTGGGTAATCAGTATGCGACAAACATTTGCTGGAATAGCTGTCTTAAGAGAATTTCTAAAGACATTTTCAGTGAAGTCCACAACAGAAACTCATTTTAACACAGATGAAACGGTGCTTCAATAAAGCCATTCCAAAAACCCTCCATAAACTGCACTAATAAAAATGGCATTATTGCACATAGTTTGCACTACACGCCGACCAGCATATTAGTTAGGGACTACACACAATCAATACAACTATGCTTTTAGAAATGGCTCAGACACTCTTTTGCTAAGATTCCTTACACTGGGCCCTTAAAGTTATTGGGTGATATTGAAAAAATACCATTTCATAGCTGTTGCTGCTTCTACATGACAGTATCCGTTGATGTACCAGTTGCATGCACAATATGCCTCCCCTTCTCCTGAACCATCCAAGTTATTTTACTGTAGTCAAGTATAAATCACGAATGTGCACATAAGAGCCCATGAGTTTAGGAATCTGTAGAAACTTAATCAGTAATTCAGCCTTTATAGGTATTTTGACACAGTTCATAGCATTCCTTTTCCAGTATTTTTACCCCAGGTGCTACCCTAGTAGCAAGAGAAAGATTATTTTGGAGCCATATTGCGATTCAAGACAGCTGCAAGTGGAAGATATAGGCAGATTAGATGACAAGCATACTCAGAGATGCTCTTTTTTTAAAAAAAAAATTATTTTAACTCTTCCCCTTCTCCCCCCCCTTACTGTTACTTGCAAAAAGTGCAAATTATCTTCGGCACATAGTTGACTAGACAATGACTATAGCATAAGTTTTAAAGTCTTACATCTTATTAACAGCCAAAGATCCTCTATGAATCTGTCAAGATACAAAGATTTAGCATTTGCATTTCTATTTCTACTTGGAAGATGAGTTCCTGTGATGGAATAAATGGTAAAACAAATTCATTACTGCAGCTAGAATTAAGGCTTATCAAGGCTCTCCTTCCAAGCTGAGTAATGTTCAGTTGCCCAGATTACCAGACTTAAAACAAATTTTAAAGTGCTTTATAAAACTCTTCTCTGATAATTCTGCGGTTTCTCCCATGAGACAAACAATATTTGCTCAAGAATTGCTTAGGAATAGTTTGCTTTTATCATTGTTGCTATTATTACTTGCATGTGTGACATTAAAAGATACAATGCCACCTGCTGGCTTAGGGGTTCCGTGTTTTTCTGGTTTAGTTTTCTGGTTACAGTGAAAACCACCAAGAAAAAAGTGTAAGTACCACCCATACCCTCTATTCTTCTAATACAGAACAGTGCTATAGGTATTATAGCAGAAATAGTTTTCCAAGTCTTACCAACCAAGACATGTGCTACATACACTATCAGATGTATACCACTTAAAACATATGAAGCAAAACCCAAGCTCTAGAATTTTGATAATCAAAATCAAAACCGCAAATACTTAACATGCAGAATTTACCTATGAAATGAAAGCCACTTGACTCCTTCACACAGTACAACTCCTGATGTCATAAGCAGTTCAGCAAAGTACTGTGTTTCTATTCCTTCTTCCTCATGCTTTTTAAACTGGATGCCAGATGTTGTCAGCAGTTCAATAGAGTCCTGGGCGTACATATCTTCTCTGAAAACAGAGAGAGGAAAAGCAGATTTTCAAAATCTACAAACCTCAGTTATTATAAACCTGTTAACATTTCTGTTTTGCTATTCATTTCACAGACTTCACTAGCATAGAGCAGGAGCAACTTGACTTTGTTCCATGTTAATGACAAAACCAACCATTTTTCATAGCTTTTGCTAACCTTCACTAGCATTCCATCATTCCCAGCACCTCCCTTCTTGCCTCCTTCCTAAAAACTTAGTTTCTGCTCCTCTTCCAATTACCTAGAACTCCCCTTTTGCTAATCTACACAGGAAAGTAAATGCATGAACAGAGATATTTTCCGAGTAAGATCTGTTACTTAAACTGTGACAAATTAAACACAACAGCTGAAGCAATCACATCTGTTACATTATAGAACTAAGAACATCAGACTCCAGGTCTCAGTGCTGTTAGTTAATTCTGTAGGTAATATTTTCCACACATTTCCTGCAATTTAAGCTTACATGAATGTTTAAACATATGCTCATCATCCTACTCACTACTGTAGGAAATTGAGTACTTGCTCCATCTAGTCAAGCCTTAAAATTCAGGTAGCATGATGTTTTATTTCTAAATGAATAACTTCAACCTTTCTTTAATTTTGGACCTAAAATTTAACAGGAAGGGAAAAATTTCCTCTATGCCTTGTCTGATCCCCTCTTATCCCTGTATTTTCTCCCTTTAACACTAACATTTTTGTAAACTCTTAAGTATTTTGTGATGAAATGGATGGGGTTTTCTCCTAAAGTTTAATCTACATCATCATAACGAAGACATGGAATGGGTAACTGAAAAAAAAAAAAGCAAACACGGCTCTACCTGAAAGATTATATTCATATTACTGTCCACAACATACTATTCTACAAAGTCTCTTTAGTGTATAGTTTTCAATTTTAATTAAAAAATAACAAAAATAAAACAAACAAGACAACCAATCTTTCAGACTTGACCATTAGATTCAGTCATAGACTTAATTTCTTATTCCTAATAGCAAGTCATCATTCATCAGAACATAGAGATACATTGTCAAGATGTGTTGTATCTTTTTTCCTCCCTCCCACACAGCTGCTCATTAGTTCTCCACCTTTAAGGCATCAGCTTCCCAACACCTGTCCATTTCCATAACACATTAAAGAACCCATCCAAAACAAACATGCCTATTTTATAAAAATAAGTTAGAATTCTAGTTTGTTGCTCTGCACTAATCAGGTGGATAGTTAGTTTAGAGAAATATTTATGCTCTTTAAAAGCACACTGTAACAAGACCTGGCTGGAACCACAGACACAAAAAAATTACCTTCTAGGAACAGCCAACAGCTGTTGTGCTTTAGGAGTAGAACTCTTGGCACAGTGACAACTCCCAAAAGGAAGTTTAGAAACAGACAAAAATAAGTAATTTCTCCAACTCTGCAAAACAGTATTTGTGTTTCATGCAGCACTTACATAGCTTACCTTTTTGTATAAAATCCCCCCAGTGAACTAGTACCAAGTTAGTTAAGTGACTACGTAGGCCTTGCCTTACTAAGCTGTCTTATCTATGGAGCATCTGGCACAAGTGGATGGGAAACTACTTTTGTTTTCAGTTGCTTGACACTAAGTAGACCTTCAAAGCTCAGGTTCTTCTTCCCAGATCACAGTTTGGAAGTTATTAACCCATTCCCTCCTGCTCTTTCTCCCATACTTGGCAGGATTAGTATATTAAGACAACGCATAACTTCCATCCACCACTTGCAAAGCCAGTTAAATTTGGAGATACCAAAATATGAAAACTGCACTGCCTTTTCTTTCAAGAGGTGTTTCAAAACTAAAAAGAGCATGTCATTCCTTAGACCAAACGGATCTGTAACAAGCCATGGTACTGCTTGTTTAGAAAAGCAGAAAGATCAAGAGAGACAGCAGCAGATTTTTCTTTGTAAGAATGCTGAGCACTTTGAAAACAAGTCTTTTTATCTGCAGAAAAAAAGGTCTGTTCTCTAAACCACCTTTGTAGGCTGCAGTTTTAACTCATGTGTATCAAGCTGTCCAGTGATCAGCCTGTAACACAACTGCTGAGAAAACCCTAAGCCTTCAACACATTTAAGTTTGAGAAGCGTTTGCACTGATACTCAGGGAATATGAGCACCTATCAGGCTAATCATGTTTACTTCAGGAAAAAATTTAAGATACTTGTAACCTTGTCAACTACCTGCTAAAGATATAACTAGAACTCCACATAAGTGTCTCATCCCACTGGAAAAGTTAGGTTCATACCTAAAGGTTTACCACTGATAAAAACCACATTCTGAAGTAAAGCTCCCAGTATGATTCTGACAGATAATAAAAATCAGTGAGCTTTTTAACCAACATTTTACACAAGATAATACAGAAGAAAAATGTCCACAGAAGCTAGGCTGTAGAATCAATAATCCCTTTCAACCTATTATAAAAAAAATAAAAAGAGTAGCTTAATAGAATAAGTTGCTTTGAAAACACAAGAAGAGCTGCTGCAGTATTAAAAAGTTGACAGTATTTTATCTAGAATATTATTTAGAACTTGTTGGGAGTGTTTTAATAAGAACAACATTTTAAAGAGGACAGAGCATGCTTGCATTAGAACTTGCTGATAACATTGGTCATACTTTGTTAGTCACTTGACATTTTTTTCTTCACAGTTGTATTTTCCATTAAAAACATACAAAGAAACAACATGAGACTTCTATAACAATGAGTAAGAGCTAAACTAAGTTTAGGTAGGAGCACTTTGAAATACTATATATGAAAATGCAGAGCTAAGACTCACACCAAGGATAAATCTTTTCCGAACTTTTGTTGGAATTGCTTAGCATTTTTGACCAAATTACCAACAGTAAGAGAGACTGCACAGAAGCGAGGGAAGAAAGCACATGTTTTGCTGACAAAAGTTCTCCTCACAAAGTATCACTGTATTCCAATCGCATAGATAAAAAGAGTTGTTACAGCTCTCACAACCTATAATACATTTTCAGAAACATACATTCACTGGTACAGACATTTAACACTTACGTTAAATTAAATTTAAAATTAAATTGCCAAGTTGAAGTTCCTGGAGGGTATTCTCCTTGTTCATTCATAAATGTCAGTCCTAGTTGAATTATTTTTAGCAAGTCTACGTTGCAGCGTAATAGCTGGTACTGATAGTCTGCGTTGCTTCTGAATTCTCCAATAGGCCTTGCAACTACTCCTGGAAATTCTGTATCCTGTAAGAACAGAAAAAAAACTTAAACAAAAGATACCCATAAAAATATACGTTGCTCATTTTTAATAAAACATATTGCAAGGACCTAACAGTTTAATAGCTGAAGAGTACTGTGTGAAAATTTAGCTTTTAAAAAGGTAATAGATTAGGATCCTCATATTCATATACAGTTAACTCAACACTAAGAATTTATTATTGTTTCAATAAAAATGGATGAACAACTTTATAGCTTTAATTTACCAACATCAAATGAAGTCATCATGCTTTCTGCAGTAATTTGCTAGATGAACATCAAGTGCCCACTTACCATAGCTACATAGTTATACTTCCGTATAACTTGACGGATTTTCTTCATCTCTTCATCCAAGTTACAAGCCCAAACTTCACAGATTCTTTGACTATGGTCTACAGTAGCTGCTGGCATAGTGGGGGGCTTTAGAGACCATACATCAAAAGTTACACTTGACTGAGGATGCCTTTCATAAAGAGGAGCTCATTTATTTTTTTAACCTGTGAGACAGAAGGAAAGTATCAACTGTAAGTTTTTATTCCTCACTTATCTGAAAAAAACGCTCGAACACCAGGATCAAGCTTTATTCTTCAGAATTTCATAGAAGAAACAGAACATAGCCCCCCAAACCGTGTGAATTTCAGCTTGTATGTGTTTAGATCATGAGCCAAATGATTCCGCTAGTAACTTTCTTGCACAAAGCCAGGCAAAGCCGCAAGGCACACTAGCTCAACTGATAAAAAGAGATACCTGATCCCCACAAGCGTTATTCCCCCACGGGTTAAAAGCGCACATTCCCGTGGATCCCGCGTACAACATGAAACGAACCGGCAAACTGGCTATTAACGTTACGCCAAACTCGGGGACGCTGCGGACCGCAAGCAGCCTCCTCTTGCAGAAGCCCCTCTTTCAGCTCCTACCGGCCGCGCCACGACAGCGAACGCCGCGAAGGGCCCCGAATAGCGCCCCGGCGGGGTCCCGGGCGCCTCCTTATGCCTCCACAGC